ATAAGTGTTTTGTAAAAGAAATATTACATCAGCATCAGTATAAAAAAACCCAGCACAGGGGGGTCGCGGCACAGTGGTGACGTGGTATAGATGGATCAAGTATAATGATATCTGACAGTGATTAAAATCACTATAAAAAAAAAACGCTTCGATGCAAATCTTTAGATACTGTTTAATTTTAAAAAATTGGTGGACTATTCCAAAAGCTACATTATCTGCTAGTTCATTATTAATATCCTAATTAAGATAAAGTATGTAGAATGAAAAAGGGATTATTAAAAAATATTATTTCTCATAAAAAAATAATGTTGATCCATACACTTTTCAATATGTCATAGCATTATAAAGTTAAAAATGTAAAAAATAAAATCGAGAATTTTCACACAATAATAGCATTCGGTAGCCATTTTCACCGTGAAGATAAAATAAAGTCCGAAATTTTTTTTTCGCATAATAAAGTAAATTACATTAGCTTTAATTTAAGATATATATAAAAGTGTCAGACTTTCCGGAACACTTTCAAAATTTAAGTTGTAAAAGTAAATTTTTTGTGAAAAAGTGGTCATTTTAAATCCCCCCCTGTGGGCAGGTAAAGGGTCAGATATAAAAAAAATATATACCAAATGATAGGTAAAGACATCATGCATCTATAAAAAAAAAATTATATTGATCCATACATCTTTCAAAAAGTTATAGCATTATAAAGTTAAAAATATAAAAATGAATTTTTTTACAAAAATCGTATTTTTTTTATAAACTTTGATGTCTGTTTTCACCATGAAGATAAAATAAAGTCCGAAATTTTTTTTTTTGCATAATAAAGAATATTACATTAGCTTTAATTTAAGATATATATAAAAGTGTCAGACCTTCCGGAACATTTTCAAAAGTTAAGTTGAAAAAGTTAATTTTTTTTGAAAAAGTTGTCATTTTAAATCTCCTCTTGTGGGCAGGTTAAGGGTTAAATTAATGAAAAAAATATACCAAATGAAAGGTAATAATATTATGCATCTATATAAAAAAGAATTATATTGATATGTTCATTTTTGAAAAAGTTATGGCACTTTTAAGTAAAAAAAATTGAAAAAATATCGAAGATTAGTGATTTTTAAATTTGTAATTTTTTTGGAGGTTTCCCCCATTTATGAGGAACGAGGGAATTTTTTTCAATTTTTAAGGGTAATGTCTTCGACTAGATACGATTTGTGATCTTTTGACGTATCATTGAAAGAAATCGGTTCGGTGAGAGCTGAGAAAAAGTGGTAACAGACACAAAAAAAAAAAATAAAATAAAAAAAATAAACACATCTTAGTAAAACCAATACCTTCTCAGCTTCGCATCGAAGCTAAAAATATATTTAACATTTAATTAATAAAATTAGGAAAATTCAAAAAGAGAAAATAGTGAAATGTATTGGATAAAAGGTTGACGTTTGTTTATTGATGTATTTACTTGGAGAGTATTTATTTTTTTTACTTTGGTAAACATGATATAGAAAATTTTTTTCTATAAATCAAAGTGATGATCAAAAAATAGATCATTAGAGCCATATGTCATAAAAGTCGGCCTAAAAAATATTGATAGCGCTGGTTCAAGGGAGGCAATCAACCATACGCCCTTGGTATACAATATAATTAATAATATTCTAATTATAATAATTTTATTAATATTATAGAATTATTACAGAAAAATTCGACAGGTTATTATTTCTGGGACTATGTAAAAAAGTCAATTTTAATTATAATACTGTGATTTGACGTTGAACATCATTGTTGTCATAGATGGATCCCAATTTTTACGAAAAACTCATAGACTAATACATCATATATGAGATTAATAAGGTTATTATTACTGTATTGCTCTGATTATGTTTGTACAAACGTATATATTTAAAACCGTGTTAAAATTTGTATATAACTTATCAAACATTCTTTAATAAATTATACAAAATATATTATTATGCGCAAATGTAAAATCATAACCTAATAAAAACTTTGCCTGGACATAAAATAAAAAAGTTCAAAGCGAAAAAGTACTTTGAAAAAAATCTTTTTCATGTCGTATAGTGTCGCAAGAATTTCGGGTGCGCGTCCTGGCGTCTCGTGCGTGCCTTGATGTTTCCAGTGAGTGTTTAGAAATACATATAAGTCGTGTTGTTTATTTGAACTAAACCTAAGTGTGGCTGTTCACTTTTTGCATATGAATCAGACAAGTGAAATCAATGATTGGCGAGAGTATACTAAGAGAACATTGAGAATAATAGGAGTATAGTGCCAGATATTTAAGCCTTTTTTGGTCCCCTTTATATTCCTATTTTGTTAATTTGTATAATTATATATATATATATAAGCAAGAGGTGACAGAAACGCTATTATGATCTCTTTATTAAATTTATTTTTGTTATTCATTAAATGTTATCTTATAAAATTAATATACAATGATTCATTATTGCGTTACAGTATTGATATATCTGTGAAACTTATACTATTATTTATGAGAATTTTATCATTTATATTAAAATTTAGATATATAATATAGTTTGTTGCTAAACAGATAAGATTCGTAATGAGAGGTTAATGTATCAAAACAATTAACTATTACAAATTATAATTATATATATATATATATTAGGGGTTTGATTAATACTTGAGGTACTTGGTCAAAACCAAGAATCGGAATCTACCCGACGTGTACCCAAATATTTTCCTTATCTCCTTAAATGTGTTTTATTATCTGAAGGAGACACAGGCAATTTGAGTATGATAAATACCATTCTACTAAATCTTGAGTATCTTTATATATATTGTATGACAATACAGGCGCTAAAATTAAAGTGCCCGGCAATGAAAATACCATATGCAGTATTTTATTGGACTAAAAAAACTCTTTTTACTAGCTTATTTTTATAAAAATGTCATATATTTTTATGAAGAACAAAAATAATTGTTGCGCAGGGTACTAAAAAGTTTGAAATAGGAATTGGTTATAATGGTTTATGTTAACCTATAGTGTAATGAATATAGGATTCAAAAGGGTACGGCATGATTAATGTATTTACACCAAGATAGATTTACAAACCCATCTTGATACAACTATTATGAAAAAAAAAGGCCAACCTAAGATGGTCTTTTTTTAAGAGATAGGGATCACCATGACAAAATAGATAGGTATGTCAGCAATTTTGTGATACGCAACCTCTTTGTGATACTCCTCACCCCATCTATAGCTTTTTTTTTTTTCCCTCCTTCCTCGACTTTGGTGTGGACCGCCCTGGAACTGCCGTGAGGCATTGCTTCAGGGCGGCCCACGTCGCCTTCTCTACTTCATACCACCGCGCTGTGATACGGCCCAAGTTTACACTAGAGCCGAATCACAGCACGGCGTAGCCTCCCCCGTTAGCCGGACCCCACTAGAGGGTCCGTTGCCCGGGTTGGACCACGTGGAGATGGGGGTAGGCCGTCTTCTTTCTTCTGGTTTCTGGTCGGTTTTGAAGCCCGACCTTCTACCTTGTTTCCGCTTCCGGGGCAGTCCTTGGAGAGGTGCCCCTCCTTCTTACACCTGAAGCAGGCCTTCGACCGGTCCGGTCCCTTGCACGCGTGGGCTATGTGCCCGCGTTCTAGACACCTGTAGCACTGAGGTCCCTTGTCGAGAATCCTCAGTCTACAGGACGTCCACCCGACCCGGACTCGGCCTAGACCTGCCAGGCGATGAGCAACTTTGAGGGGCACCTCGCACCTCGCATACCGCCCTTTGCCGCCAGCATTCGTGTGGACCGTAATTGGTCCCACTTGCGGCGGCAGTTCTCCGTTCGGAGACGTCAGGGCGGCGCTCAGTGCTCGCTGCACATCTTGCTCCTTCTGCCACTCCTCCACGTCCAGGAGGAGGACGGTGCAGGTCATCGACGGCCGATGTACCCGCACGTCCATCTCCTTCAGGGCCGCCCTCAGACTGGCCATCTATAGCTGGTTCGCCTCATTTCATTGGCCGAATATTTGTATGGTAATTTTCCATAAATATAGTTTTTATATTATTATCATTTATGCGTTCATATTTAATATTGTGCAAAAATAATTTGTAGCGTATAGAGGAATAATGAAAAATTATGTATGTAATATACTTAATATTTAGAAGTGCTTTCATTGCAATAAATGATAAATAATTTGCTTCACATTAATGTTATTTTTTTTTTTATAAAACCAAGAGGTTGGTTTGTCAGCACAGTATCCTAAGGCAAACTGGCCTAATGTTATTTGGTAATTTAATTTTACTTATTACATACATTTATTTATTAAGTAAATTTTTGTTTTTTAAATTTAAGTAAAAGTATGTAAGTATATCAAGTTTTCAAAATATTTTAAGACACTTAAAATAAACGCTGTTCATTTTATTTAATATACCCGGCATAATCATTTCATATCAAATAATTTGCAAATTGATCATATTTGTTTATATTGTAGTATAAATAGATTGATATCAATCAATAATAGTAAAAGGTAAAGGTATCATAAAAAAAAAATACAAAATATTAAAGTTGCTGTCAAGTATTTGATTTAAAGAATTGTATTTTGGCAGGCAAACCTACGCCCAATGAAATCAGGCGAACCACTACTACGGGTGATAAGGGCCGGAATGCGTCAAACGGTCCAAAACTCGTTTGTTGCTGACATACCTATCTATTTTGTCATGGGGATCACTAGCTAGTGATTCCTATGCATTTATTATAATAGTATAGAGAAGATTTTTGCTCAAAAAGTAACCTCCTTGGATTAAATAGTTTTTGCCATGTCAAAAAATTTATTTTGTTGGATTCCTGTCCAATGCCGCAAACAATAAATATGGTAACACTGTGAGTATGAAGTACAAAAACATAATAGGTATGTCAATTTAAAACGATTTTCATGTATTACTGCGCATACATATTTTATTAGTGAGTATGGATTGTAATGTATACACACAAACAGCCAATCAGATGGTTGTGAACTGACAAGTTTGTGTATCAATAGTTTTACTAGCTTACCTTACCATTATACCGATACTCGACGTGTACGGTTATTATATACCTCCTAACCATGTCTTTCTGAGCTACATGTCGCAACTCGCAACGTGCCTTAATTGTCGATTAATTGAAATTTTGTCGATTTAATTTTTAAGCTGTCGCTTCGGTAAGTAATAATAAATTATTTTTTACTTCAATTTATATTAAATTATCTTTGATATTTTCAAATAAGTAAATGTTATAGTAATGATATAGTAATGATGATTAATACTAAATATGTTGTAATTACATAATTTTGTTAATATTTTCATTTTCGCTTAATTTGTCGCATGGTTTATTCGTGAATTTTTTTATAATTTTTATTGTTCTGATTATTTTATTAGTATTTGTTTATTGAGTGTTTGTTATATATTAAATATCGTGATCCATATATATATATAATAATTATTTAACGATAAACAAGTTGGTAACATAACCTTAAATAAATATGATTTATTTTTTATTAAAGAACTTTAAATATATTTATATTTTAATAAAATTATATATTTTTATGAAAATCATTATTTTATTGTTAAATTATTATAATTTTTTTTAACTATCTTACTGGATTGTTAAATTTTGCTTTTTGGTGTTCACAGTTCTTAAACGTACTTAACATCTCTACACCACAAGATGGGTAGAGAGGACAAAGCGGCTTGGAAAGCAAACTATTTTGATAAATTGGTGGTATGTCAATGAAAAAAATTTCATTGTATATACTATGCTATTATATATATATATATAATGTTTTTTAGTCTCTGTTGAATGAGTTTCCAAAATGTTTCATTGTTGGTGCCGACAATGTTGGATCAAAACAAATGCAACAGATTCGAATCAGTCTTCGTGGAAATGCTGTTGTTCTTATGGGAAAAAATACCATGATGAGAAAAGCAATCAAAGGACATATAGAACAAAATCAATCTCTTGAAAAGTAAATATAATAAATATGTAAATAGGTGTAGTGGGATAATTGTAAGTCCATTTTTTTTACATTAATACACAAATTTTTATTTAAAACTCGCATTTAATATGATTGAAAGACATATAAGGACTAAAACAGTTTCATCAATAATAAAATTTGCTAAATATTCTTCGAGAAAAAATGAATTTACAATTACCCAATTCATTTACATTCATCATAGTTATGTGTTAATTAATAATTATAATATATAATAATTATAATAATCATGGTAACAATTTCTTTTGTAATAAAAATATTCTTAAAATAGGTTATTAATGATGATAACACATTACTTTTAGAGTATAGTCATTACGTATCAAAGCCAGAAATGGTTGAACCCATTGGTACGGACTATTCTTACTGAAGTCAAATGCCTGTGTGCAGTCTGAAATATAATTTTAAACTGTACAATAGATATTTATTAGAGAATTTGTAATCCTTAATGGAATTATTAAATTGCTAATCAACAACCACTTTTTGCAAAAATTACAGTATAAAGATTAAGTCATCTATTCAATCTATTACGTATTTCCAAATATTTGTTATATTTACTTAGGATAAGTTTTCCTTGGTTTCAAGGGTATGCTAATATAGTGAATGGCTGTAGTTATGATGAAAAGTTATGTAGCATGATTAAAATTTATCATATACATGTTAAAGCCAGAAATGGTTGAACCCATTAACATGGATAGATTTTTATGGATTTAGATGCTTCATGGCAGTCTGATTTATTGTTTAATGTTTCAAAATTGACAATATCAAATTTTATTGGTTCCATTATCTTTCTAATAGTATAAAAATAATCAAAAATTCTTTTTTAACTTTTGTATATTCCCCCTAAAAACTACTTTATAAAAAAATGTTTTATTTTAAAATAGACATTTAGTATTAAAATAATTAATGTTCAATTCAAAAATTGGATGTAGTATATGTAGTAATATGTAATAACTATTTTAAAGCTATTTAACAAAATATAAAAAGATAAATTATGATTCGTCTTTGGTACTCAATGCATGTATAAAGTTTATTTATCTTTATCAATTATCTTTTATCCTAATTATATTAGAATTTTAGGGGTTTGTGGGAATCACTCCTCCTAAAATAAATAAACCAGAGAGTGTTATAGTATACATGAATAAAAATAAAACTTCTTTCAGAGTCATTCGACTGATAGAATATTATATTAGGTTTATATTGGAATAAAATAGAAACATTGTATTATAAATTGAAGTTAATTTAATATATTATTATCTTATTCTATTGTCCTAAAGATATAATGTCCTTAAGATAATTGAAATAACTAATATAAGTTTTTGATTGGGCATTATGAAGACATTGTGTATCTATTGTGGTATTTTTTTTACACACAATCAAATCTATTTGAAATTAAATTATTTAATGAATTTTAAATAACATCACATAAATTTTCAAAAACAGTAATTAATTATAATATAAAATATACTTTATTACTTACTATTATTATTAATAAAATTATCATTAAATATTATTTATTTTATTTACATTTTATAAGAGATTAAAACATTCAAACATTAACCAATGCTAGAATAATTACTTAATGGTGTCTGATTACTTTATAATGAAATTAATCATTTATATAAATAAACTTAATACCTCTAAATTTAACTAATTTCATGTATTAAAATAAAAAATTAAATAATTATAAATAATATTCTCTATATTTGTTCATGTATAACATAATAAAATAAATTATTATATTTAATCATTATTTTATTTTCATAATAATTTTTTATTGACAATTTATTTATTTCATTATTAGTAAAAAGAAATAACAAATAAAAATTAATAAGAATAATAATATAAGTAATGAATTATATTTTTTACCATCATTTTGTTATAATAATTTATTATTATAATTGGTTGACCTTTATTTTTTATTTACAATATCATTTTTAAAAATAATTAAATATTACTGAAATTTTATCAGTTAGATTATTGTATAGAATAATAGTTATCACATAATAATTTATGAATTTATGAATTGATACCAGCAGCGCTACATTATTTATGACAAATTTTATAGTAATTTTTTTAATTAAATTATTTATAAAAAAAACCCAATACAATTGAAATATATGCAGAATAAAATTTATTTTAATGGTTTATTTTAACTAAAAAAAACCAATAAAAAAAAAGTTATTAAAATGATTTACTCATTTGAGCGGATTATATAATTTGATTTATAATTGTAACAATCCATTGTTAAATTCAGGTGAAACTAAATATCATTTTTTTTTAGATTTATGATTTATTTAGCAACATATGTTACAAAAAAATTTGGAATGTTAAAGATTAGTAGTTGCACACACAAATTAATTAATTACAAACTAAAATTATTTACATTTGTAGTTGAATACTTATATCATATCAAATCTAATTTGACAATAAATACTTAAAAATTATTAGAAATTAATGATTTTTATAGTTTGTATGGGGAAAGCTGGTTAAGCTACTTTTTATTTGATAAAAGGAATTTGTTTTCAATTTTTGACTGTAATATCTGCATCTACATACAAATTGTAATTATTTGACATATTGTTGAAAAAAGAAGTTTTGAGGGCTAGAAAAATAAATCGCAGCCATAAAAATAACCACATAGTGAAATAATATTATCATGATTAAGAAATTTCTTCTCATGGGGGGAGACTACAGTGATGAAATCCTCGATAATTATTGAAGTTATTGAATCTAAATGAAATTAAAAATAAACAATTTGAACATTTTTTTTCTAGCACAAAAAAAATTTAAATTATAAATCGTCACAGTTGGATTAAAACCTTGTACCATAAGCATGAAAGACACAAGTGTTACCGATTTGGCAACTGATAGTCACTCTCGTTGGGTGATAAAATTAGCAATTTAAGCTAATTCAAATTTTAAAGTTACTTTTTCGACCTTAAAAAAGCAAAAAAAATTAAATATGTTTAAATTCTTATGTCTTATGAAATTTATTCTATGTCAATTAAATTATTATATTCATGAATGTCAGTGTATTCTCCTTGTAAAATATTTTAAAATAAAATACAATACCTTGAATTTTAACACAAAAATATTATATTTTTGAATATGGTAGCCATTTTCACCAAAAAGAAAATATTTTCAAAAATTTAAATGAAAAAACTTTTTACTTGTGTGCAAAAATTGATTTTTTGAATCCTCCCTGTGGGCAGGTTTAGAGTTAGATATTCAAAAAAATGATATCAAATGAAAGGGAAACATCTAAGATTTCAATATAAAAATAAAATTCTTATAATTTGTTCATTTTTCAAAAAGTTATGGCAGTTTTTAGTATTAAAATATTTCATGTTAAACATTGATTTTTACATAAAAATAAAATTTTTGTTAAATTCAGCGGTCATTTTCCTATAGAAGAAAAGGTGACTGGATAAATTTTTTTTTTTTTTTTGAACCTGTAGTATTTATATTGTAAGCTTTAATATGACATATATTTAAAGGACGTAGTATTTCCAGAACATTTTCAAAAGTTAGGTTAAAAAAGTTCTACTTTTTGTACATATGTTTTAACCCCCCTTCCTGTATAAAGAAAAATGGTCCAATTTAAAAATAAAGTATGTCAAATGGAAGAAGTATATATAATGTATTTCAAAAAAAAAAATGATGATACATACATTATTCAAAAAGTTATAGCAATTTAAAGTTGAAAATTTAAAATTGAATATTTAACACAAAAATAGCATTTCTTTAACTATGGCAGTCAATTGCACGTAGAAGATAAGGTGTACAGGACAATTTTTTTTTTTTTTAATGACAACCTTTAATTTGATATATGTTTAAAGTATGCAGTATTTCCAGAATATTTTCAAGTTATGTTGTAAAAGCTAGTTTTTGTAAAAAAAAGTTAATATTTTAAATCCCCTCTGTGAGCAGGTTAAGTGTTAGATCTTCAAAAAAATGATATCGAATTTTGTCAAGTGATATTGTGATTAATGGTGTAATTGGTTTGCTCAGTATTAAACTTATAAATTTTTATTATTTTTTAGAATCATGCCTCATATTAGGGGTAATGTGGGATTTGTTTTTACAAGTAATGATTTAGTTGAAATCAGAGATAAACTTTTGGAAAACAAAGTGCGTGCTCCAGCTCGACCTGGTGCTATTGCCCCTTGTGATGTAATTATTCCATCCCAAAATACTGGACTTGGACCTGAGAAAACTTCTTTCTTTCAAGCTCTTTCAATTGCAACTAAAATTTCTAAAGGAACAATTGAAATCATTGTAAGTTAATAACTTATTAAATTTGGTTTTATATTTGATAATATACAATATTTAATTATGAAGCTTTTAGTTCATTGTTAAAAATTATCTATAAAAATTTGCTCATCTAAACATGATTGCAAAATAAAAAAAAATTCTTTTTACTTTTAATAATTTTAGTTTTATTCTTTCAAAAAATAGATTTCTACTAGATTGTTTTATTTATGTCATAAGTAATAAGTTTTATACCGAAATTATTAAGTTCTTATGCATTTCCATAATCATAACTACAATAGAATAATACCATTTTAGGAATCAGTTTTAAAAATATTTATTTGTAGGATTATACTCTTAGTATGAGAGGGTATAATTTACTTGCATTTAATTGATTATTTCCTCTACTTTTTAAACTCTTCTTACTATAGTATTATACCAAAGCCATACTAAAATTTTTGTCAATTGTAAGTTATAATATAGTGCTCATGCTATTTGATTAAACTTATAAAATGTTTAATTAATTAAATTTTAATGTAACTGTTAAATTTATCCTTTTAAATGGTTATAAACAATTCTTATCTTTTTTATGTAGAATGATGTGCACATTTTGAAAGAGGGAGATAAGGTCGGTGCTTCTGAAGCTACTTTACTGAACATGTTGAATATTTCTCCATTTTCTTATGGTTTAGCAGTACAAATGGTTTATGACTCTGGTACTATTTTCGAACCTACTATTTTAGATATTAAACCAGAAGATTTGCTAAAGACTTTCATGGCTGTAAGTACATATTTTGGTCTTTAAGCTACAATGTATAATTGTAGATATAACCAAGAAAATTTTTATTTAATTTGTTATCTAAATTATATTGAATTATTATATAACAATATTATATGTGTGTGAAATTCATGTGTAAAATTCTATTATTTAACTTTTATATTAAAAATGTCGTTTAATATGAATGACATTTTTTTCAAAATTTAAACAATTTTTCTCCATTTTAATTTTGTTAAAAAAATTTTAATTGTATTTTTAAACTATGATGATTGTTTATTAATTTTTGTCTTCTTTTCCCGTCAGAAGATACTGTTGATATTTATAATCTGAGTTCATTAATATATTTGTATTAAAAAAAAAAAAAATCTAAACATCTATTCATGATGAATATGTGCTTTGTCTTCTTTCCCCAACAGATGACTTTTGAATGTTGATTCATGCATGTTCTGAACTAGATTTGTATTAGATATTTGTTGAATTTTTTTAATCAATGTATTATTAATATATTCAACACAACATTTTTAAATTATTATTTAGTATCCCTGTTGTTAAATTAAAACTAATTATAATTAACTAATTATTAAATATTGGGTTAAAATATGTTTTAAAACATTGAGTTATAGTTAAGTATTTCAATTGAATTAATTACTCTATTTAAGTGAAATAAGCTACAATAATTTGTCTTAGATTAGTATGTTAAAAATTTTGAATGATATAGAGTTCATAGTTTTTTTTAGTTTAATATAAATCAAAAAAAATATTTTTTAAAAAGCTACTTTTATTATTATGCATCAAAGCTTAAATACAAACAATTATTTTTCATTAAATGTAAGATTTATACTTAGTTATTTAATTCATGATTTTAATAAAAAAAAAAATTTCCAGGGTGTAACTCAACTAACATCTGTTTGCTTAGCAGTAAGCTATCCAACTGTTGTATCTGCTCCACACATGTTGATTAATGGATTTAAGAATTTGGTTGCTGTTGCTGCTGAAACAGAAATTGAATTCAAAGAAGCTGCTACTTTCAAAGAGTATCTTAAGGTAAATAAATAAATTTTTAATGTTTATTCTGTGTAAGTTAAACGATAATGTTATATTTTATTTAGGATCCATCCAAATTTGCTGTTGCTGTAGAAGCTCCGGTTGAAAGTGAAGCTCCAAAAGCAGGAAGTACCAAAAAAGAAGAGAAGGTTGAGAGTGAAGAAGAAGAGGACGATGATATGGGCTTTGGTCTTTTTGACTAAGTTTTGTTCATTATTTTTGACTTTGCTAAATTAAAAAAAAATTATATTAAAAAAAAAAATGTTTTATTTTTCTATTAACTCATTATTTAGTTAATAGTAATACCAGAAGCTACTAAACTGTTAATAGTTCAATCCTATACAAGTGCAGATATTATGCAAGGATTTTACATTCTCTCTAGAGAATTATAAATTATAATGAAACAATTATGAGCAAAAAATGTGTAAATGATGATTCTTTTAACGTTATCCACTAATTGTCTCATTAAACAATTATATTTAGAAAAATTATTTTTGATATTTTTTAATTAATCATCATTTTAGGTTATTAGGTCAATTAGGTTATAAAGTGAAATAAATGACTTTTCTATTTCAAACTAAACTGTATTTCAGAAGTTAACATACTTATGTGTGATGCGGCCAAGAAATGTCTAATGATAAATACTATCATGTACGTGTCTTATCTACACCTTTTTGTTATTGACCAGTCGTTTTCTTAATTGGATGATTTTTTCATTTTACATGTACAAGTTTAAATATGTATGTTGCCACCGTTATAGATGTAAAAGATGATTAAAATAGTAATGGAAAATTAATAGATCGAAAAATAAATAAAACAAAGAAATGCAAAAAAAGTAATTATCTCAACATGTCTATTATTTTAAGAGAAATCGAGTAGCTATCGTTAATAGAATCGCCGCCTTGCATATACAGGTTTCTCAGATTTTATTTATAACAATTATAATTTTTGAACCAATTATCATTTTATCGAAGTAATTACTGTCTAGCGTTAATATATTATCTATAAGAATGTTGACAGTAGTGTATTTAGAGGGGGCACAGGGTTACGTGCCCCCCATTGACTTAGCTATGTAAATATTTTATCAAGCAATGAATTAATGTATAATATATGAAAAAAATATTTTTTGGTTATCGATAATAACATAGGTTATGAAATGTTAGTCGATATAGTTGTCTTGTGGAGCAAAATTTGACGCTTGTACAGTTGTCCCCTTGATGTTATCATCTATTATTGAAGTTCTTATTACGTAGAGATACATACTGTATATAGAGAAATATTTAGATTAATAAAAATGGATTCAAAACAAATAACAGATTTTTTTTCAAAAAAATCTAAAATATGTGTTAACAAAAATTGAACACAAAAAAAAGTTGTTTTATGGTATCTCATTCATGAAAATTTTTTGTGCTCGTCCATTATAAATTTCTAAATACGCCACTGAATGTTGAGTGAAGTTAGTTTCTTTTAGCTGTATGCAGAGCCAGACTGGAAGACCAATGGCCCAGACTACTCCAAAAAATTCTTGTTTCGCTCCGTTACAATAAAAGAAATCGGGTCAAATATAAATTTTATAAACCAGAGTACCCAATTATAGGACAATTGCTCATGTGACCAGTTCGCCCTGGCTGCATAATAGAAGTGTTTAATTTTTCTTAAAAATATGTACATATAAATTATATGTAAACATAAATTTTTAAATCTATGACAGAAAACAAAGAAAAATATTTTAATGTTATAAGTGGATTAATATTGTTATCTAGTATTCCAAAAAATTATTATGTTTATATATCTTTATTTTTAACAAATCATGTTTACTGGACCAGATAAATATAATATATATTGTCTACTTATACAGAAATTATTGAGAGGTAATGTGTTAATGTTATATAAATTAGTAAATATAAATATTTGATCGAAAATAGATTTTTGGTTGAAATAATTCTCAAAATTTTGTTGAAGCTTAAAAGTTTTAATTTATTTGAATGAAAATACTATAAGGTATTGTACATGATAGCTTTGAAGCACTTGATTATATTAAAATTATTATAGAGTATTGAAGATAAATATTTCAAATTTACTTATAAACTGATACAAGTCTACGAGTACATTAAATTCCCAATAAACATTTTATAATGTATAAAAATTAGTTATTTAGAAATATACACTATTAGTTTCTGGAATATTTAAAGAACTAAGTCAGTCCATTACTATAATAGATTAGGTTATCAAAGTGTAAACTAAAATATTTTATCCTTAGATTAAGATATTGTGTATACAATAAAAATAAATAATAACAGTTTTAAAATATAATGGTTATGTAATGTCATACATAAAATTTGTACATAGTTCTTTTTCTTTTCAAAAAACTCAAAATCAATACAAAAGTCTTTATTATATATTACATGTTTGTCAATGACTAATATTATTAATGATTGTTATGATTAATTAAACAGTATATCATAATTTTGGCACACAATATAAATAATAAATAGTATAACATAGACTAGATAAAATAAATATGTACAAGAAACAATAATTCAATACATAACTGTTGTAAGAATAAAATTAAACATCAAAATTAAAACAGGTTTAAAATTTTATAAAAAAAAAAAATTACAGTATTATTTGTTTGATACTTTTATATTTAAGACTTTTTTGACATAAAATGTGAATCAATTAAATATGATTTACATTTAATGAAAAAAAATGATTTATATTTAATAATAGATTAAATATTAAAAAAAAAAAAAATTAAAATTTGGTACCTTAGGTTAAGTTAAAATAATATTCAATTTTTTTTTAACTTAAAATCATAAAGACATAGACATGTCCAGTTCATTTTGTCATAATCATGGAATAGTTTTAAAGTCTCATTGTTTTCACAATAATACGAATATTCAATTAAAAAATATAAAATGATACAATATATTTATGATTTAAATTAAGTTTAGTTATAGTAACGTCACAACTTTTAATAATTTATGTAATCTTAAATATGCGTTTGTCATATTATAATAATTAAGTTAAACATAACTCTCTTGTTTTGATGAATATAATAAAAATGAGTCTAAGAGTCTTGGTTCAATAAGTTCGGTAGCGTCATATTGTTCAATTACTTCTTTGCCGCAATTTGCTGCGATTTTTCTTAATGAAGCCTAAAAATAGAAAATTAAAATTATAGCAGTTAATTTAATTAGTTTAACAATTAAATTCATTGAGCCAATATTTAAAGTTAAATCTTTGTATGTAAATCATGTACTTATTTAATTAGAAAACACATCAAATTATTATAATTATTATTTTCAAATCTAGACAAATTTTTTTTTTATTTGAAAAACTTTTTTGAATTAAATTAATTATCTTTTACTCCAAATATCGAGTTACAAAATGTATAATATATATTTTTTATAAATAGATTTCACATTATTTAATAAACATAGTATTTTATTGTTACTTACCAAACAAGCTACTAAAACGTCGTCACTATGATTTCGTTCCCTTTCTTCTTTACATAATCTAACTAAGCGATGAACGCCTTCTAATTCGACAACTTGCTTAGAAATTTCAACGTCACTACATAGTCTGCAAATAACGAAATCATATTAAATACATTTTAAGATAAGCATATAAAAAATAAGCATTTTTTAGAAATCAATCCATTTATTTTTATAATCTATCTATTTAGATTTCAATTTTATTTTTTTATATGAGTTATTGTATGGTTCAAAATAAGCTGTATTATAAATTGTACAACTCAACCTAAAATTGTGTATGGTAGGTTATTTAAAGATGTAATATACTTAATACAGCCCTTTTTAATATACTGACATTGATTGTGTAGTATACCTTGATAGAGCTATAGCTGTCTTATGTAGTAATCTCTCAGCAGCTAAAATTTCTGGAATACGTTGAAGAGGTGAATGTCGCACTTGCAAGAAACAAAGTAACGCTACTACAGCATGGTTTTCAGCCATGTGTGGTCTAGTCTCAGGAACTGTAGCCATGTTTGCTATTAATGTGGCTGTTTGTTCCTGTAAAAATACAGATGCTCTCGTGCCGCTTTTTCGGACTGCTTCAATCAACGATCCTGCTGTACCCATGTTAAGAATAGTCCATATGGCATTAGATTCCATAAAAGTCATGTTTGCCAAAGCAGCAGCAGATAAAAGTAAAGTTTCTATCGATTGTGTTGTCTCGATCAAACCTAACATATGAGAAATTAATTTAGTAAATGGTTATAAAGTTAAATTTAATTATACTACATACATGTTAATGATGATATAATAATGTGTAGGTAATCTGAAAGTCCATTGACAGCGTGGTTGTCATCGATCCACGGTGCAGTTATTTGGGCAAGTACAGATACGGCATCAGTAAGTTCTTTTTCCGAACGATTTTTGCTGTTCAATATATCAGCTAAAATTTCTACACCTCCGCCCTAAAATCAAAATAGTCATAAAAAAATTGTTTCATATGCTCTCAAGAAAATCCTTCATTTTATTTTGCTTATACCTTTTCGAATTGTCTAATACTATCGGGTGAACAGCAAACCATAGCCAGGGTACGTAGAGCTGCTGATCTAACTGTACTAGCTACTGCATCTATACAGACCGTTAACAATGATCGAATGCCGTTACATTTGGTAACTAAGCTTCCTAAATGAACACTTTCCAGTCCTAGACTGTTAATACTAGACATGGCCTTCACTAGTTCAATGTCGGTACTGGGTTCTTCCAAGATGTTGATCAAATGCTAAATAATAATAATCATATAAAATTTATTTTAAATTTTAGTTTAAGTTGAATTTTACCTGCACTTTTTTCATGAGTAGCGCATCAACGAGCTCACTAAACAACTGCCCTAATGTCGCTACATCGTTGACAATAATTTTCCTATTGCCTAGTCGGCGGTTAGCGTGGATCCTTAATCTCTCAGATACATCTACTAATTCCAAGCACAGCTCTTTGCCTTGTTCGTTTAGTTCAGTTTCATGATCACACACAAAATCTAGCAAAAGAGCTGTTAATTTTTGTACATACGAACCGAAATTGTCATTACGACATTTATTCAAGTCACTGTAAAGTCAATAAATGAAATAATATGTTAGTAGATAATTACATTTCATCCGTAGAAATATACTGATTCATAAAAATTGTTGTAAACATACATGTAAACTTTTTTGAATTCGTTAGATATAATTTTAGTACGTTGGTATAGTTCCCGAACGACTTCTGAATCTGTGCAAATTATTGTAGATAGACGACAAGCATCCTCTGAAGGAGTAATAGATTTTGATTGCAAAGTGGTCATACATTCTGGTTCACATCTATATCTTAATTCATTTAACCACTGGCCAATAGGAACTTCATTTTCCCGTTCATTTCTTTAAAAATAACATTTCAGTTATACTTATATTTAGGAAACATATTCATTTCGGATAGTTTCTATTTGATATACGTTATATATATTTTATTAAGAAAATAAATTTTTCATTAGTACTAGGTATTTTAATGATTACTAATAAAAGCATACCCTATTATATTAAATAATAAGATAACACAATAAAATTGTTTGAGTAAACTTGATATTTTTAGATCGAACTTTTAATTCTTATCACTTTTAAACATACCTGTGGATAATCCACAGTGGATTACTATATTGATGAATTTTTAAAGCCAAAATTACTCTACATAATATTTTTTCTTGGATTATCTTTAAATGATTTAGATTTTGAAATTTTAAATACTTAATTAATTTAATGGGCACAACACCTATTTAAATTAGACGAATTCGCCCTAGAAACTCATATTACGCAACAATATATTTCTATGAATTTATAATTACGTATACAGAAGGAAGGTAAATTGACACGTAAATCATTAAATATATTACTAATTGTATCATGACGCAATGAATAAATTATAGTGTATTGACTGTATATACATATTGCTCGTTTAAAAGCTTAATTGTTTTATAAAATTTGTTACAATTAATTAAGCTTGAAGATAGAGTAACAAAACAAAAACATAAAAGTGCTTAATTAGGTTTCTTAAATCTAGTAATTTTAGCTGAGTGATAGCAATCGTTCAAGAATTCATTATTTTTTGTTATTATTTACGAGGAATCTTTACTTCAACAACAGGTTTGATGGGATCACATTAATTCGACAGAAAAATATAAACGAGAATCAAGAAATTATTACACAATACGATTTAAAAAAACTTCAATATTTATAATGATAAAAATTTACCTTCTAATATAATTTGCGTTCTGTGGAGTTTTCGGTTTCTTCAGTTGTAATTGCCTTTTACAATTCAGTCTAGGAGTACAACATCTGTCTCTGGTAGATTTTGGAGTGGAAGTGTGCTCGGGTGATCCCGGTCTTTCTGAGTCACTGAAGTCACTACTGTTTCCATATTGATTATGGGCACGTCCTTGATCAGCTTTGTTCTTACAGCTGTCTTCTTGTAAACGATCAACGAATGGCGTAGGTGGTTCAATAATTAGATCATTGTTAATTTTTTCATCGTCATTGTTTGATCGTTTAGCGATCACATTTTCTACAACGGTAACATTTTCTGATCGATCGAAATGGCCGTCAAAACTTTTAACTGAACCCGGCGTCGATAAAATACTATTGGCAACACTATTTTTTGGTAGTTCGTCTACAATAAAACACGTCCGGTTCGGAGTTTGTGGTTGTATTTCAGGTGTAGCTACTTCAGTCAACTTTAGAGTAGATTTGTAAGGGGTTGCTACATCGACAATATTTAATATACTGCCATAAGATCGAAACTTTCTTGATAATTCACAGGCCGGTAAAAAACAATTACAAGGCTCTGACGGCTGAGGTTCTAATTCATTAGATGTACTTGTAGATGAAAGCATTTGTGTGACAGACATGTCTTGTGATATTTTACTTGGAAGTTCATAATTAAAAATGTTAGAGGAGGTAGTTAGAAGAGTTTCATCTTGATTTTGACTATCGTCTTTAAGTTTTGATAAACCTAAGGTACTACTTTCAGAGTCTGAAAATCCTGAATCTTGAGATTTGTGACTACCGTTACTCGGACTGCCCGATGATACTCTTCTACTTTCTGGTGATGATGATGGATGTCGTCGCCACGAATGGTTAATGTCATCATCGTCATCATCCAGATTTGGCATGAACCACACCTTACTTCTAGTCCTTTGGAAGTCACCCATGACTTTTTTTAATTTCTTTTTATTTTTTCTAAAATAAAATAAATTTACAACTAATATATTAATATGCATTAATATATTTTAATAGTATAAATTTTTAAAACAAACTAGTTGATTAGATATAATTTTGATTGAGATACTATTACAGAACTAGTAACATAATATTTTGATACATTTTCTTAGGGAAGTTTTTTCAAAATATTGAATTCTTAAATTTATTATATCTTTCAATTTATACGTGGTCACTATAATGTACAAACATCAAGATATAAGTGTATAACTTTTAGAAAAATTGTTTTAAACCACGACCACGTACTTTAGTAGGTACATGAATATTGGATAGATAACCTAAACCTCACAGTATTATTATTTACACTCGAGTTTGCTGCCATGGCTCCAGACATGGAAACAATAATGTAACAGGTTATTAGTACTCAGTCTTTTATGTTGTCATTACTAGGGTATTTTGTGCGGGCGTGACCGATAACGTTAAAGGATCTTGAACAATAAACCATATAGATTAGCTTCCAATAGCCGTGACCAAATAACAATAGTTTTGTCTCCCTGGCACATATGAGGCTTAGTAGCAACAAAAACTGGGGTGACACAAAGATAGAGTTCAGATCATGTTATTACATCCCGAAGGGGGTCATGGCTATACTGAGGAATGGATACTTTACTCGAGGAATGCTCCCCATAAAAAATGATAAGTGGTCCAGATTTTTGAAATAGGAAAATTACAAGGAATAATAAAGAATATCCATTCTTCAGAAATTTAAGATAATACAATTGAAATCAATAGTCAGTCACTTGTTTATACTAAGAAATTAGTTATAGACGAACGTTTACAGAATATAAATCTGGAATTCAAACTTTTTTCTTTCTAAATTTTGTCCATAACCCTTAATAAGTATTTAACGGAGTTATAATAATAACATAATTTGTTTATAATTGCTGATACCAGCAAAGATTATTATAATTTACCGTTATAGCCTAAACTCACCATCAAAAGTTATTGAACACATCAAAATTGTTGAGATAACAATAGTATCTATACGTCAACTTCTAAATGATTTTTAACTATTATGCAATAAATATAAAATAATAAAGACCTTCCGGGTATCATGACCTCAAATGGGATATATTATTTTTATCGCTGTATGGATTTTTTAATGGGGATAAGTAGCTTATCTATTTACACTAACAGCAACCTATTTAAACAGTTAATATAATATTCAAATACATAATACATCATAATCGATTAAGTATTGTTAGACAAAAAACTAGCATTACCACCTGTAATGCCTTACACTTGTTAATTTCTCATAAATATTGATTTCTGAATTTGAACAATATAATATTGAGGTTAGGTGACTATTAATATAGAAACTTGATGTTAACAAACAAAATATGGTGAACCAATGAAGAAACCAAACTAATGCTTGCTAATTTTGTTTAAGCGAAATCAATCGGTAAAAGTGGGTCCAGGAACTATTTTCAAAAGCTCCTGACTCCAAATTACGTTTTGACAATAAGCTAACCTCAAAAATAAATAATATATTTTTAATATTTAAACTGAATAAGGTCATGTTAATTACTTCCAAAAAACGAAATTTTCTACTTTATTATAGTATTTTATCCAATGTTATCAATAGGTTACGTGAGGTCGCACAGAAGATTAAAAAACAACAAGGTATTTTTTTGTAAAGGATCTCCCGGGTATACTCAATAGTTTTTCTTGTAGTAAATAGACATTGGAAGTAATTTAATAACATACATAAATTGTTGTGCTTTATAAAGCGCAGCATGGCGTGAGGCAACATATAGAAATACCACCGTGATTCACCAGTCTTTTCAATATTGACTGTCGGTATTTTTAATTAGTCCACATTATAAAATTTTAGAGTACAAAACAAAAAAAAATGAAAACCAATTTAAACGCGGTAAAATCTCGTAAATTTTAATTTACGGTACACGGGTTGATTGTCATCTACACTAGGCTAAATTTTATACATAAATTACTCTACTTATTTTATTATGTTCAATATCATATTTTCAAATGCTAATTAACACAATGTTTCTGTAAAATACACACGATGTTATGTGAATAATAGAAGTAAAAAAAACATTTATAAATTAAGAGATGCTACACTTTTTACAATACATTTTTTTTTAATGGCTGTAAATGAGGTAATAAATACTTAAGTAATTAATCAGGGATTATCGATAATTATAGAGCATGATCTATACATGCTTAACATTCATTAACACGAAACATTGCTATATTTTTTCTAATGGTTTTGACGGAATACAAACATTTCTTGCAGTTTTTATTAATTAAACGCACCTATCAGTACTAAATACTTCCTCGGAAGGGCAGGTCGTTATTGCGTTATTTCGTAACACGTTTGGTCACTTTCTCAGTCGTTTGAAAAAGTGCGTTCATTGAACAATAATGCTGAGAGAGATAATAGTTGCATACTAATGATAGTTGAAGAGATTTATGTTCGATTATAATACCGGTATTTAGTGTTTTACCGTTTATATCGGCTGAACTACAATTTAATATTTTCTTACTCAGTAGACATTTTCAAAATATTTTATTATAAAACGTTAAAAATTATAAATTAATTAAATGTCCAAAATTCAACGTAGTATCGTAGTTTGTTATTTAATAAATAATAATATTTACGAACAAATTTAAATTGATCAGGTTTTATTTCTATATGTGTTGATACTAAATTAATACTACCACAATAAACCTGATTTATACTTTTATGACGTTTTCTAAACATGAATATTAAATGAAAATTTGCGAACAATTAAATCGAATCAATTGAAGTGAAAATCCTAAGACTTGCAACAACTTAAAATTTTACAACAACTAATTTCGTCGAGGGTAATAAACTTGAAAGCGAAAAAATTACTTTCATTTTATAATGGTTTAATGTATAATACTCTCATTGGTATATCTTAAAGGTTATATAAATGTCACATGTTTTAATAAGATTGTAATTTTACACTAATAATGTATCGTTATGTTGTATTGTCCAATTACTCCAATCTTTTTAGTTTTAAACTATTTTTTATGTTCGTTTATTTTTAGGTGAAAAGAACTAGTTGAAGATGAGATAAGTGAAATGTACGCATTTATTATAAAATATTACTATCATTGTAATAATCCTTTTTAATGCGTATCCATTACATGTGTTTTTTATTCAAATACGTGATTTAGTTTATGTTTTATATTGTAAAATATCATAAACTATTACCATTTGTAATGCTATAAACGATTAAATTTGTATATAGAAGAAATAAACTCGTAATAAAGTCAAAAATAACACCAAATGTTAAAGTATAAATTTAACAGTAATATTACATTTGCTAATAAAAAAATACATTTAAAATGTTTTTATTTACTATAAATATTTGCTACGTATATGTTGTAAAATTTATAACAGCAAATATTTGTTTTTCATCAAATTTTTATTATGCCCTTAGCCAAACAAAAAAATGAATGTTAGGTACAGTCGGAAAATGATAATTGGTTTAAGTCGATTTCTGAGTGTTTACTTCTTATCTAACTTATTTACGCAGCTTCCATTATACATTCTCGATCTAAATATCACATGATAACGTAGGAAATATCTTGGACATTTTAAATCATCAGAGTTTAACACATAATCAATAAAACTGAAGATAGTTATGCGACTAAAAACAAGAAATTAATTAAAACGTAGAAAGTATAACTTTCTACTTTTTTCCCTGAGTTTGACATTTAGTGTAATACGCCTAACAATAATCATGATTTTAGTATTTTATAGAACTAAGAAATCACTTAATTATTTAATTATATATAAAAAAATTATAATGTGATCGCCATTGATTCAAATAGCGTTATTTATACTGAAAAATTGAGACATAGTATTGAGTAATGATGTTAACGGTATGAATTTTAATGTTGATATTTGTTTACCACAGTACGCCAACCAGATCATTCCTAAGAATTTTGTCTAAAATTTAGGTAAAACGTGTATGGAGTGATCAAGAACACTTTACATCTAATAGCTATTATTGAAGTAATCATTCAATAAGACTACTGTGTATGCAGGCGGCATAGGTGCCTACATACTTAGGGTACCGTGTGAAATCACAACATATGAGTATAGAAATACTGAAAGATAAATTAACGTGTATATGTTGAGGTTTTTCCTTGAATACACCTTTCACGTTAAAACCCGTTAGATTTTAGCTATTGTAATACGTCATTTTCGGCAATAATTATATTTGTCGTTCATATTCATTTTATATCGTAAAAATATGTGTTTTATTGTTAAGACCATTAAAACTTGAAAATAGCGAAAACGGAATGACCAAGAACTAATGAGTTTTTCATCTTAATAAAAATTCAAAAATCCTTATACGTAAATTAAGTTAAATAACAAACTATACCCTATTGGTTATACCGTAATTAGTAATATATAAATATATGTATGATATAACTTACCTAAATTTAGGTACGTACAGATAATATTTAATAAAACAATTAATCATTTTGCAGCTTGTCATTGAGCAACTGTTTCGTAACTTGAACTATAATGATATAACGATGCAAGTAGCATGACTAAAAATGTTTTACAACTAATTAGTTGTCATTTTAAAATTTACATTTTATAACTACTGCACTTCCATAAATGTCCGTCGAATAGAAAAAATCCAAAATTAAAAACTTAGTAATAACAAAAGAGATATATTAACCACCCTAATAATAACAATGATTATAAAAAAAAACTTCACATGTCAAGCAACACGTGTGGGCCAAAGACCTCTAAAAAGTGTGGTATATTCGTATATTTACATTAGACTAACAATAATTGTCTTGTCATGCTGGACATCGCGCGAATATACATTCAGGAGACAAGATCTTCTTAAACATGTATACTACTATTATTAGTTTAGCACTTCTGAAACGGTATTCTATGAATAATTTCACCATAATAGATGAATAAGGAATAATTTGTGGAACAAATA